ATAAGAAAAATTTACAATAAGAATATGAAAATAATAATTATTTCAAAGAAATCTGGATAACTTTGCATAATTTTGAAATATTATACCAAAAATACCAATCAATTAGTTATTCCAAAGGCTAAAACTCTGAGAACTTGAATTTTGAAAGAACATCATGATATCTCTATCTCTGATTATTTAGAAATTGATAAAACTTATAAGTATTTACAAAGATCATACTATTAACCAAAAATATCCAAGAATATTCATAAATATATCTTTAGTTATGAAGAATATCAAAGGAATAAAAGTAGTAATCAGTTATTCTCAGATCTTCTACAATTCTTGAAAATATCTAAATAATACTAGAAATAAATTATTATGGATTTTATTATACAATTACCAATTACTTAACAAAATCATAATATTATCTTGATTATTATTAATTATCTTACTAAACATGCTTATTTCATTTCTATACATATTACTGTCACTGTTTTTGAAATTATCAAGCTATTCTTCAATAATATATTTAAATTATATAGACTACCTTGAGTTATAATTTCAAATCATAATATTAAATTCACTAGCCTTTTTTGAAAATCTTTTTTCAAATAACTTGGTATTAAGTTAACTATATCAATTACTTTTCATCCACAAACTGATAGATAAACTGAGAGAATAAATTATACTTTAGAAGAAATATTATAAATCTATTCCATCTATAATCAAGATTACTGGAATAAATATCTTGCTACTGCTGAATTTGCATATAATAATTTTATTTAAGCTTCTTCTAATCACATATTTTTTGAGTTAGATTATGGTCAATATCTAATTATACCTGCAATACTTATTTCAGATAATAAAGTCATTGCTACTAATAAATTTATTTAATATTAGAATAATATGATAAAAGATATTAAAGATTTATTAATGGAAATACAGAATCATCAATCTAAATATACTAATCAATATCATTATTTTCAAGAATTTAAAATTAGAGATCAAGTCTTACTTTTAACTCATAATATTATTAATCTTGTAAATAAATAATATTCTAGTAAAAAGCTTATATTTAAATATATTAGTTCTTTTTCTATTCTTGAAGACATTTCATCTGTTGTATATAAACTGGATTTACCTTCATATATGAGAATTCATCCTGTTTTTCATATTTTATTACTAAAGTCTTATAATCCTAATAATAATAAAGATTTTATTTATCCAACATTATCATAATCAATTATTATATCTGGAGCTGATGAAGAAGAATATGAAGTAGAAGTAATCTTGAATAAAAGAATCATTTGAAATAAATCTTAATATTTAGTTAAATAGCTAGATTATTCTCTTCATAATTCTACTTGGGAACTCTTGAAAAATCTTTACAATATTATAGAACTCATAAAATTTTTTGAATTAAAACATTAATAAGAATATTAATTCTTAAGAGGGAGAGTAATATAACAAATTAGAATAATTATATTAGATTTATATTTTATTTTACAGATTATTGCTATACTATATACTGCACTATATATAACTTACTACACTATAATCATCTTATTATGCCAAGAAAAGTCACATAATATAATTGAGTTATTTAGTTATAGATAATTTCTTAGTAGAATTTCTTTTCTTTCTTGTTTTACTAATATAGCTAGTAAGTTATTTATTTTATATTTCTCATTTATAATTATTTATTTCTTTATTTATTTATTAATAAGCATCTTCTGGAGATACTATTATATAAGTATTATCTATTATTAATTTCTATTTATTATATTATTAATTTTATATAACATTAATTTATTATTTAAAGATACTGTATCTGTTCTGTAATTTTAAGTACTATTAATATTGAATAAAGAATAAGTTTAAAATATAATTTCTTATCTATATTTAATTTAGTTTTCTGTATGAATTCTATCTTAAATATAATATTATATTCTGACTTTTTTGTGTGAATTATCTGGATATATTACACTATGTAACTAGAAGATTACACTGATTTAGTAATATGATTTTGAAAAAGTATGATAAAATCTATCAAAAAAATAAAAATAAATTAGATAGAAAGTAATATATATTTTTCATAATTATTAAAGATTTTAGATCAAAAGATTATGTGAAAATTTAAAAATATCAAATAATCTCATATATATAGTTAAATGATATGCTAAGATATATAGTCCTGATTATATGATAATTGAAAAATTAAAGATTATATAATTATATATTTTTAAGATTCAAGATATATAATTTAAATCTTTTTATAGACAAGAAAAACATAATAATGAGTTTCTATAAAATTAAAATCAAAATAGATTTACTAATACTTTATCTTAAAGATAATAAGAAAGCACTTTGAGAAAAATTTAAAGCAACTTACTCTGATAGAATCAAGAAAATATCTTTTATAGTATATTTTGCTAATAACTATTATATATATCAAAAAGATCTTGAAGGATTATATAATATATATAATAAATATAAATATGAAGTTTTTAATAAGTTAATTTAACTAGTTAAATCTAATATTTGAAAATTAAAATATCAGATATGTAAAAAATTAAAAATTACATATTATATATAAATATTTGATTCTAATTTTTTTTAGAATAAGTTAATTAATAATATTAAATTATTATATTATCATATGTATAGAAAGTTTGAATTAGAACTTATCATATATCCTAACAGAACTATTAATAATTCATAATATATTAATTATTACTTATTATATATATTTGATAAATATTTCAAGATATATTATATAATTATTACTTATTAAATTTATTGTGAGACAAATTAATATGAATCAAAATTTCTTTTTATTTTCTTATTAACAAAGAATTCTTGTTCAACTTTATTAGTTCAATCTTTATTTATTTTGAATTCAATACAAAATGATTTATAAATTTTGATAGTTGTTTAGTTAACAAGCTCATTATAGTATCAGTAATATTAGTAATCAGATATAAAAAGATTTCTATAATATCAATATTAACTATTAGATTCTTGTTAGTCAAATAACTATCAATTATTCTAATTATATTTTTGTAAAAACTTTTTATTAAGTTATTTATAATCTTTTCAATTATACTTTTTCTATTTAATTTTAATTTCTTCTTGATAGACTTGTATTTTATAAATTCTTTTAATACTTTGGATAATTTGAAATAGTATCTCTTCAAAATTAATATCTTTTAAGTTTTAATTAAAAGTTTTAATAGAAGTTTAAACTTCTTTGATAATAATTTCAATACTATCATCATCTTGAATTTTTTTTCTCTAGAGTTGCAATATTTTAATTATTATATTATTACATGAGAAGAATTTTTTCTTTAAGTATTATTTTTTAATTTTCTTTCAGAATCTTCTTCTAATTCATTTTTTTTAGAACTTATTTTATTAAATATAAATTCTTTTCTATTACTATAAATAAACTTTATTGTTATCTTTTCTTTTTAATTATTATATTTAAAAGTTAAAAGTCTTTTTCTGTTATTAATATTAGCTTTGATTTTATTTAAAAAGTCTATTTTAACAATTACTAAATATATTTTAGCTTTAGTAATATTTACTTCAGTTAGAATTATGATTATATTAATATTTAAAAGTAGATTATTAATAACTTCAAGAGACTATTTTGATATTCTATTTATATTAGATATAGATATATTTAAATTGCATTATATTTTTAATCCCATATCTTTGATAAAGTTATGTATAATGATATATTTAGAAATATTAATAATTAAATCAATAATATTATATAAGTTATTACTATAAAAATAACTTATAATAAGTTTTGAGAGCTAAGACTAAATTATTTATAATATTAAATAATATCAAGATTATTTTAAAGATTCTCATGTGCTAATACTTATGAATATTATTTTTGAATTCATAAAAATAAAGAAGAGGATGTACATAAAATAAAAAGTAATAACAAAAACTAAATTATAAATCAAATACTAAAAACTATAATAAAAGATTAAGTATATTTACTTAATTTTCTTTTAGTATTATTTCAACTGAAAGATAAAAAATATAAAAATAACAAAAGATTAATTATATTTACTTAACTCTCTTTCAATATTTTTTTAACTAAAAGGCAAAAATAAAAATAAAAGAGTATGACTTATTTAAAGTAAAAATCTTCTACTATTCATATTTTAAGACAAGAAAAACAAGTATTAACCAGATATGATCCATTATGATAGAAAAGATAAATAAAAGTAATAATTAAGAAGATTAAAGTATTTCACATATATTTATTCAATATTTGAGAACAGAATTATTTATATATATTTAAAGTTATATAAATTTATTAGAACTTTACTAAAAATTTGCTAGTAATTATATTATATAATTATAAGTATAAAATAAAAACTAAATATTATACTAAAAATTAACAAATAATATCTAAAGATGAAGTATATATCAAGACTTAAAATATAATACAAATAATGAAATTAATAATAATAAATAAGATTAAATAATAATAAATAAAATTTATGATATATATATTAAAATTAGAAATTAAGAAAATAATTTATAAAATTAAGATAATCTGTAAAATTATAATATATATACTAAAATTAGAAATTAAGAAAATAATTTATAAAATTAAGATAATCTAGAAAATTAAGAAATTAAAGAAATTAAAAAATTAAAAGATTTTATATTATTATAGTAATATTTAGTCTTTCTAGAGAAGATCAAGTTCCAGTAAAATAAAAATTAAAATTAAAATAAATAAATAAATAAATAAATAAATAAATAATAACTAATAATAATAATAATATAATAAATTTCATTATTCAAATATAGTAAATAATAATAAAAGAAAAAATACTTATTAAATAAAGGATAATATTAATAATATTATAAATTTTAATATAAATATAATATTTATTAAATTCTAAATAATGTATATATTTTCTAAATTTCTATTTTTGATTTATCTAATTATAAATTAATAGTATATTTTTGCATAGCTTAGTACTAATTCAAGCATTATTTTCTTCTTTCAAAAGGTAAAGAATATAAAAAGAAGAGTTTTCTATATTATTATCTTTATTATTCATTCTCAAACTATAATTAATTAACTAAAATAATTATTATTTTTATATAATTAAGTCATTTTCCTTTATTTTTTCTCTTTTTTTATTTATTTTTGACTTTTATTATTATAGAATTATTTTTATTCATATATTAAAAATTATTTTTTTCTTTAATTATTAAGAGCTATACTATTATTAATAAAGTGTAAAAGAACTATTTACTTTATTATTTCACTTTATTTAGTTTTCTAAAGAGCTTTATTATCTTTGTTTTCTTATTATTAAATAAAAAAAAGATTTTAAAATATTTGCTTTATTAATCATGTAATTTTATGTAATATATAATATATTATATATATATAATTTTTCAAGTATTTAGTATCTAATACAATATAATTCTGTTAAAAACTAAGATTATGCTTAAATTTTTATTAATTCTTAATTTTGATTACTGTAAATATTCAAATTTAAGTAATTCTCAAGAATAAGCAACCCCCCCTTTTCAAGTTTAAAAGTCTTAAAAAAGTTAAATAAGCAACTTCTTTATTAAAAACTATTATATAATAGATTAATACAAAATTTATTATGTTATTTATTTTCATATTCTAATTTTTCAATAGAACTATCATTTTTATTAACTACTTTAGTTATATTATTAATTTCTGTATCAGAATTATATAATAAATCATCTTCAGTTCTATCCAATACATTAGAAATTTCACATTTTTTAAATGATTTTATAATTATTTCTATAGAAATATCATTTCATATCTCTAAAATTCATTGATATATTAAATTATATCCAGACTTTTTTAAATTTCCACTCTTAGTAAATTGATATTCACCATTACTTATCCACAAATATCATTTTTCTCTTAATTTCTCTTTAAATAGTTTATTAATACAGATATCTAAAGATTGTACTATAGATATTAAATCTTTTGGAATAATTGCCAAATGAATATTACTAATATTATATTTTTATCATACTGATTTAGTTTTATGTCCTTCAAATGAATCCATAATAAGTAGTGAGATAGATTTATTTATTATTAATGTTTGTGATTATTTATTTCAAATTTGCTTTACCCACTCACATATTAAATATTCATCCATCCAAACTTTTTTATGCATTTGTATTATGATATCTCAAGAAAGTTTGACAGAAGTTCATACATCTTTGAAAATTATCATGAATGGAAGTTTGTCACTATCAGTTATAATAGCTAGGACATATATAAACTGATTTTTGTCATTACTAAAGATGACTTCTCAACTAGTTACAGCTTGCAGCAGCCAATCAGAGAATTACAACAGAGTTATAACTAGTTGCAGTTCCTATCACTAGTCATTACCAGTTATTTGAATGTGAATAATTTTTGCACCTTTTGTATTAATTGTAGTAGAACTAGTCATATCAAAATAAATTAGAGTTTCATTCATATTACTAATGTGAGAAAGATTATACTTGTATGATAATCAAGATTGAATTATAAAATTTTGAAATTGGATAATTTTTTTAGCAAGATCTTCAGATAATTTTTGACTGATTTTAGTTTGATATCAAAGAGAAAGATTATGTTACTTTAAGAAATGAAAGAACCAGCAATCTGAAGTATAAAATTTATTAAAAACATCTGAATATTGATTTATACAGATTATTTTGAGAATGGTAATCATTTATATTTTGATAGCTGTTATTATTACATCAATTTCATCAAGCTAAAGATCATGAATCCACTTGGCAAGTTCTTCCTCAATCACCAGATAGATTGCAATCATTCCAGTACCAACACATTGACTTTTTAGTGATACATTACTAAACTTTTTCTCATTAGGCATCCATCATGACACTATTAATTTATCAATATCAAAACAATGTGCTGCAGCCAAAATGCTAATCTTCTTAGCTTTATAAATAATGATAAGCTTTTCAGATATTTTATATACCATTCTTTCAACACATTTTTTTACTTTGGTTACTTTAGGGTTAATGTTTACAGAACTACTGCTTATTTTTATGTTTATGGAGAAGTGGGTAAACAGTCAGATATAGATATGTGAATATAATATAGTATGAAAGTTTGGATTTGGAAGGAAAGGGATATTTAAAATTTTTTATGTTGATCAATTTGATCTGTATAATATTATGATGCATAATTCTCTCGAATTTAAGTAATTCTCACAAAAAATCATTCAAAAAATGATGATATAGGAGGTTGCTTAAATTCAAGTATTTATGGTAGTTAATTATTCATATGACTTGCAATTTTTTTATTGATTACTGATCTTATATAAGTTTTAATTTATAAATTATTATATAGTTATAATTTAATTAATTTTAATTAATATCTATTTTTAATTATTATTACTTTTATTCTCTTCTTGTTTTTCATTATTTTATTTATAAATTAGAGTTACTAATATTTTTGATCAAATTTTGAAATTAAAAGAAGAATTTCATATTATCATTTTTATTAGTACTTTTTTAGTTAGCTTTTTCATAATTATGAATTTTATTATTATTTTGTCAAGTTGTTTAATTAATATTATTATTATTATTATGATTGTTATTATTATTGGATTATTAATTATTATTATTATAGTATTATTATTATATTTACTGATAAGCTCTTTTATTTATTGGTTTTCATTATTATATTCTTTATTATTAATAGATTTCTTTCTTTTTTATTATTATTCTTCTTTTAAATAAATATTTATAAATGCCATATATTATTTTGACTTTGACTTCTCTCTATTATATTTTTTTTATTATTAATAAGTTTATATTTTTCCATTTGTTATATACATTATTACTATTATAGATATTATCATTAGAAGTATCATTAATTTCATATTTCTTTTTAGTAAGGGTTTCTATTTATTATTTTACTATTAAATTTATATTATCATCATGATTATTATTGAAATTCTGTGATATTATTACTAGTAAGTATCTTTTTATTATTTTATTTATTATTTTATTATAAGTAAATATTTCAAAAGTTATACTATTTTATTTTTTATTTCTTTTAGAGAAATTTATCATTAATTTTATCATTATTATTTCTTTCAGAAAAATCTATTATTAATTTTATCATTACTATTATTAGATAAGTTTTTTCATTTTATATTTCTTCTACTACTAGAGTAAAGAAATTTGTGATAATAAGAAATATTCATTTTCAGAATATTATATCTCTATTAATTTGTTCTTATTATTTCAATTTATTATTTTTTTATATATAAAAATATAAATATTCTAATATTTCTTACTTACTTTCTTAAGAATTATTTTTATTTCATTATTATTTTAGAGTTCTTTTCTTTATTTTAGAAGTGTATTATTTTTTATTTTACTTTCTAACTGATTTCTTAGTCATTATTTTGAAAATTATTTCTTTAAGATAAGTATTTATTATTAGTTTAGTTTATTAATAAGGAATATATTTACTAATACTTATTCTTCATTCTTCAGATTTCTATTCTTGGAAATATCATATACTTTTTCCTTCAGAAAGTTATTATAATTATTATTTTTTTCATTCTATTACCAATAAAAAAGATTTTATTTTTATAATACTATCATATATACTTTATATTTCTGCTATTAGTTATTATTAACTATATCTTTATACATATTAAAGTATTTATATTAGTAGCAAAGAAGTAATATATGATTATTATTATATTTTGTATCACTACTATTAGTTAATACTAATTATATCTTTACATATATTAAAGTATTATATTAGTAATAGAGAATAATGCTTGATATCATTGTCAAATTTCATAAAGTAAAAATAAGTAATAATAGGTGAAAAAAGATCAAAATTTGTATAAAAATAAACATATTTTGCTTAACAAAAGTATAAATTAAAAGAAAGTATCTCTCTAAAATTTCTTAAATTTACAGAGAAATAATAAAAAATATAAAATAAAAAAGTTTCCAGAAGTTTTAATTTCACAGAGAGAGTATCAAATATTACAAGCTATTACTATAAAAATAGAGTTTACTTGAGATATAACTTATAATAAGTTTTGAGGACTAAGACTGAATTATTTATAATATTGAGTAGAGTCAAGATTATTCTAAAGATTTTTATATATTAATACTTATGAGTATTATTTTTGAATTCATAAAATAAAGAAGAGAATATATTTAAAATAAAAAGTGATATCAAAAACTAAATTACAAATTAAATACTAAAAACTATAACAAAAAATTAAGTATATTTATTTAATCCTCTTTCAGTATTATTTTAACAAAAGACAAAAAATATAAAAATAATAAAAAATTAAGTATACTTACTTAATTCTCTTTCAGTATCATTTTAATTAAAAGATAAAAATAAAAATAAAAGAGTATAACTTATTTAAAGTAAAGATCTTCTATTACTTATATTTTTAAGACAAGAAAAATAAGTATTAATCAGATATGATTTATTATAATAGAAAAGATAAATAAAAGTAATAATTAAGAAGATTAAAGCATTTCAAGTATATTTATTTAATATTTGAGAGCAGAGTTATTTATATATATTTAAAATTATATAAATTTATTAGAACTTTGCTAGAAATTTGCTAGTAACTATATTACATAATTACAAGTATAAAACAAAAACTAAATATTATATTAAAAATTAACAAATAATATCTAAAGATAAAGTATATATCAAGACTTAAAATATAATACAAATAATGAAATTAATAATAATAAATGAGATTAAATAATAATAAATAAAATTTATGATACATATACTAAAATTAGAAATTAAGAAAATAATCTATAAAATTAAGATAATTTGCAAAATTAAGAAATTAAAGAAATTAAAAAATTAAGAAATCAAAGAATTTTATATTATTATGATAATAATATTCTTTCTAATTTTAGCTTCATATTAAGCAAATATAGTTTTGAATTTTTGTTCAAGTAATACTCTTCTTTTTCTTTTAGATTTAAGTACTATAACTTAGTATATTCCTTTTAATAACTGAGTTTTTTATAAAGATAAGATTTAAATAAGTTAAATAATTGTGATATTAGCTTTTTGTTGAGTGAAATTTTCTAGAATATTATAAGATTTAATTATAATAGCAAGTATAAATAAGATAATTTTACTTTTCTTTTTATAAATAGTTTTTTTATTAAGTTTCTCTTCAAGAATTTTAAATAATTTAGTATTATTTATATTCTGATTAAGAATAATTTCAGAAGTATCTTCTTATTTATCTTTTTTATTATTATTTAATTTCTTATTTTCTTTAATAATTTCTTTATAAAATCAATTTATAAATCTGATTTTATAAGATATAGTTCTGAAATTTCTGATCTTTCTATTATTAGTCAAATATTTATGTGTATCAAGTAATGAATTTATATTATTTGATTTAGTAATTAATATTTGAATACTATTAATAAGAGCTTGTATTTATACTAATAATATATTCTAATTATTATTAGTATTTTAATTATTGCTAGTATTTATCTAATTTGATAATATATTATTTTATTACTGATTATTTTCATTTGCTCTCTGATGATTATTTCTAAAGTTATTCTGATTATTTTTATATATTTATAGCTAAGAATAATTAGAATAGATATGATCTGACTTATTATAATTATAACAAGTAAAAACTGATTTAGAATTTTGATTATTGGACTAATAATCAGAATTATTTCTATTATAGTTTAATTCTTTATTAATTTCAATACTTTCTATTTGCTGATTGAGTTCTTGAGTATTAAGTTATTCTGAGTTTGAAATTGATAATATTTACAGATTGAAATATCTACATCAGCTTTTTCTATATTCTTTACTATTTGAATTATATTTAAGAAAGTTTTATTAGCAGAGATTTATACCTATTTTTTGATTTCTGATTTGAGTTTTTATTTATAAGTTTTAATTTTATATTCTTCCAGATATTTATTATTAGAATCTACTTTATAAAGTAGATTAATAAATTTATTGATATATTTATTTATAATACTGATTTGTTATAAGATTTTAAATTTCATCTTGTTATTAATTAATTCTTTCTCTAGTTCAGAAATAAGTAATAAATTAATAACAAAAGCTATGTAACTGATCATTATTATTATTTCAAGCTATTAATCTGATAGTATTATCTCTACTTTTTTATCATAATATAAGATAGCAATATCTTTTAAATATTCTTTAATTAATTATATCTTTCTAGCATCTGTAATTTCATTAATCTAAGTAACTATATTAAAGTTTTTAAGCTATTCAGTTAGATCTTGATCATTTTTTCAGTATTTCTTAATAG